TCTCGCTCTACCGCGCAAACTGGAATGCATTGGTGCAACTGCAATCCCAGCTCACTGCAGCCTCAAACTCCTGGGCTCCAGCGAGCCTCCTGCCTCAGCCTCCTGAGTAGCTGGGACCATAGGTGCACACCATAGCACCTAGCTAACACCTGGGAACTTTTGTATGCTTAGAAAAATAATTAAATCCTCCAACCTGGCCCAAGTCTGCAATAGAGGTCAGTGGAGTACTTGGCTGAAAGGCAGAGAGTAGCAGCTTTTGACATAAACTAATCCTGAAAAGATGTTGAGGACTGGGCACCTGGTGGAGTTTCTAAAATTTTGGAGCCATGTGTATTCTTTACAGGATTCTCCAGCTACACTGAAAAGTACAGGATGAGTTGAAAAAAGAATTTTATCAGCCTCTGGGAAAGTCAGTGTTACTAAGTGGCACAAACATTCAGCAGATGTGTTAGAATGCTTTGGTTGTAAATAATTAATAAAACACTCACACTATGAATAATACTCAAACAATAAGGAAATTTATTATGTCATATAACAAGGAAATTCAGAGGTAGGACAGGGTTGATTGATGCAGTTGCATAACAATGTCATGAAAGATCAAGGTTCTTCCATCCCTTTACTCTGCCAGCCTTGGTAATAGCTTCATCCCCAGGCAGTAGCAAGATAATTGCAGGAACTTTTGGAATCATATCCCAGGTGTGCCAACGCTCAGAGAAAGAAGACCACTCTTAGTGAGAAAGTATTTTAAGAACCCCATGCAATTGGTCACATACCTACTCTGGAACCAATTACTGGCAAGGAGATGATGGAACCACCATAATTGGATTAGACTAGTCAGTCAGCTGGTGTGGAATAAATGTCAGGGAGTCAACTATTCATACTCAGTAAAATCTAATTTTATATTTGTTGGGATTTCCTTAGTTTTCCCTTAAATTGTCTATAACTTATTAGTTACTGGCTGATATACTAAAGAGATAGAAATTAATATTTTTTCATCATCTATTTTGATAAAGAATTCTACTTTTTTTTTATCCCTTAAGTCATAACTAAGGTGCTACTGTCCTGTGATAGCCTAGAAGGAAATAGATATCTGAGTACTTGGCTTGTAAACCAAATTTATAAAGTGATGAAAAATGTCAGGGAGATAAGTGAATTAACATTTACTATGGCATACACATATGAAAGAATTTAGTCACATGTAATTTGGTATGATTATGGTTCAGAATTAATGATATAAATATTAAATACGTGAACTCCAGGGCAGGTGGCATGAGAGGGGACATCGTGACCTGTCTTAATCCAAGAAAGACAGGTAGTTAAATTACACAATGGCACTTGATTACAAGGACCAATAAATTGTAATGATGAATAGTTGTGCATTGTTTGAAAGATTACAAATGGTGTCTTTGAAGAGTCACAGTGTCCCTGCTTCCTTTAAGGAAGTTAAGAGGTTAAAGGAGTTTGAGTCCTACCACACATCACTATTTCCAGACACCTAAACTGGCCAGCAGATGTGTGTCTCCATTCCTGGCAGGCCAAACCAAAGGTGGTGACAGACCCATGAACTATTAAATAGTGTGAAATTCCTGAATGAAAGCACCAAAATAATTTTTTTTTTGAGACAGAGTCTTGCTTTGTTGCCCAGACATGAGAGCAGTGGCATGATCATAGTTCACTACAACTTCAAACTCCTGGGCTCCAGCAATCCTCCTGATTCACCCTCCCCAGCAGCTAGGACTACAGGCACTCCCAACTAGATTTTCTATTTTTTGTAGAGATGGGGTCTCACTCTTGCTTAGGTTGGTCTTGAACTCTTGGTCACAAGCGATCCTCCCGCTTTGTCCTCCCAAAGTGCTAGGATTACAGGCATGAGTCACGGTGCCTGGTCTAATTTTTTAAGGGAGGTTATTTTTTTACATGTGTTAAAGGGAAAACTCTCTGAGTGTATGAATTCTGAAGTGAAAGAAAAATATAATAAAATGTAAAGACTCAATTTTTATCCCTTGATAACTGACTTTAGCTAATTGATTTCATTTGATGTATACTTGTAGCAGTTTTTCAAACCTTTCTGATCATAATCCACAGTAAGAAATACATTTTACATGGTGACCCAACACAAACACATACACACAGAGTTACGTTTTTAAAACTGAAACAAAAGCTCACAAAACAACAATTAAACTTTCTAAGGATGCAATCATTTCTATTTTAAGTGATTTAAAACAAGTGCTTGGCTGGGTGCAGTAGCTCACACCTGTAATCCCAGCACTCTGGAAAGCCAGGAGTTCAAGACCAGCCTGGGCAACATAGTGAGACCCTGTCTCAAAAAAAAAAAAAAAAAAAAACACAAACAAACAAAAATCAAGGCTGATTGACACTAACTTGATTTCATGACCCATTAATGGGTCTGACCTGCAGTTTTAAAAATATTGTTCTAAGGTGAATGGATAAGGAATACCTGGCTCCCGTAGTGCAAATCCCATCTCTGCTCCTCCATAGCAGGAAGTGGAGGGAAGGAGATGTCCGTGCGGATTATGGTGAGAAGTGACTGAGCTGCTTAACCCCCAGCTTTTGTGTCCTGAGTTTTACTTTCCCTTTGGGACTTGCTCACAATTAATATTGCCACAACCAAGCTGGCCTCAAGGGGACCTGCTCCCCACTTTTAACCTCTGGACCAAGGTAGACAGAGCGCTTCTCTCAACTCTCTGTGACCTAGTTAAATCAGGCTAAAACATTTAATTTAGATTTTACCAAAGGCTGCAGGGTAACAAGAGGTAAATGAATAAAAAGAGTAACATGAACCTAGACAATCTCTTGTTAAGGCAGGGCTCATTCATCTCCAGCTTTGGCGGCTAGGCTTGTCCACCCCTGAGCTGCCGAGGTCACCTTTTCTTTTCCTTCCAGGAGGGCCCTGAAATGAGTTCTCAAGGGAACAAAAGAGTGACTCCCAGCCAAATGCCTTTAGTTCCCACTTCTGGCACTCCAGTCTCTGGTTTCTTGTCTAAATTCCCACCTCTTCTCTGATATTTAACGTGATAAAAATCCAACTCTCTGGTGGAGGCCCTCACACACAAACTCAGAAGTGTGGCCTTGCTCTGTGGCTTTATATTTCTCAGATTATAATAAAAACAAGCTTAACATTTTAAGGAGAGATGTACATCAGGAAGTTTTTTGTAAGTACCCAAAGTTCTGATTAAAATAAATCCATTCAAACTTCCAGAAAGCTAATACATTTACACTGGCCATTTTGATAGAAGACTATGATAAGCCTGGATGGATTAGAGGCATGATTAGAGCAGCCAAAACACCATGCTTCTTTTTTTTTTCCTTCTCTTTTTCCTTTTTAAGGGCACACAGGCTTGGGAGTCAGATATGAAGTCCGACTTCCCTTACTTTTAAGAGAAAGTTTCTTAATCTCTCTGACCAACAGTTTACTCACCCATAAGATGGAAAGAAGTAATACTCCACAGGGTTAAAAATGACTGTGAACTAATCAAAAAACATACTTCACTTATCAAATGATCAACAAATGACAGCAGCTGCTTATCTTCTGCTTATCTTAGGCCAAATGAATATAGATAAGAAAACAACATTGTAAATGCCTCCCTTAACAAAAATACGCTGTAGGGTACTCAATATTTCCTGGTCTGATGTCTTTCTTGGGGAAGCTCTAGATATACCTGCATCTAGAAGGATACTACTATACTCATATATGTCTTCTGGTCTGCTAACTCCTGCTACTGTGGAAATCTGATTATAGGTGCAGTAGGCATAATTGAAGACAAAAGGGTCCATGTTTCTTTACATTCCTACCAGGACGACTCTAGTTTAAGGCCTCCAGGGGCTCAGACCACTATGAGAGGTCATCTGCCCCCCAGTCCCTCTCCTGCCAACCAAGCTAGTGGTGCCAGATGGTTTCCCTAAAGCAGAGTTCAGATTCTGTCACTTCGCTGCTCAATATAGCCCACAAAGGAACTCTGAACTGTATATTTTGGCATCTGGTGTACCACATGAAGTAAAAGGTTCTAACTTGCTTTTTTGAAACAGAAAAGTTTTTAATTTTTTTTTTTTTTTTTTTTTTGAGACAGAGTCTCACTCTGTTGCCCAGGCTACAGTGCCGTGGCGTCAGCCTTGCTCACAGCAACCTCAAACTCCTGGGCTCAAGCGATCCTTCTGCCTCAGCCTTCCAAGTAGCTGGGACTATAGGCATGAGCCACCATGCCTGGCTAGTTTTTTCTATATATTTTTAGGTGGCCAAAAGCTTTTAATTTTGATGACATTTAATTTATCTATTTTGTTTGTCACATCTAAGAATCTATTGCCAAATTTGAGGCCATGAAGAGTTACCTCTATATTTTTCTAAGTGTTTTATAATTTTAGCTCTTATATTTAGGTCTTTGATCCATTTAGAGTTAATTTTGTATATGGTGTGAAGTAGGGGTCCAACTTCATTCTTTTGCAAGTGGCTATCCAGTTGTCCTAGCACCATTTGTTAGAAAGACTATTCTTTCCCTATTAAATAGTCTTGCCATCCTTATCAAAAATCAGTTGATATACACATGGATTCATTTCTATTTATTTCTATATTTTGTATTTTATTAGGCAAGTAGCCTTTGCCAGCACCCTAGGGAGATAAAGGAATGGAATACAAAAGGGGAATTTACATTCCTTTTCCCGCTCATAAGGAAAAAGTTTATCCCTCCCTATCTCTCCTGATAAGGACCACTCTGGAGCTACAGGATGGATGTGACTGAATGAGGGGTCCTAGGAATTGTTTATTTTTTTTATTTATTTATTTATTTTTAAATATTAACACACACTTTTCTTTTATTATATTAAAATCAGGCAATGGTCTGACAATAAAAAGGCTGCTTATGGAATACTGTTACGTTAAACTCTGCTTACAGGATGTTAAATCCTTAGAACTAAGGTTTTCCCCAGAAAAAGATGAATGGAAATCGCTTTTCAGACTTTTGACAGTTGCTGCTCAAAAGGTGGTTTTACACAAATACTAAATTAAAAAAAAAAAAAACTTTAGTACACAATGAATTGCTTTTATTTCGGTATGCATCCACATTTCAGCGTTTAGTGGTCCTGAACAGAAAGTGGAAAAACGCAGCAATTTGCCAGGAAGTCAGCCTGCCAATTTCGGGGATCTGCTGTGCACACCCAGTTCTTTCTGGATCCCTGCTGAGGGTCGTGAGAAGCAGCAGCACCAAAACCAAAGTATGAACTGAATTCAAGGTTCTTTTTGTTCCAGTTGTCAGATTCCAAACTAGACCCCAATGGATTGCAAGGATGACCACATGAGAGCCCTGTTCAAAACTTCTTCAATGTTTAAAAGCAAAAGCAATTACAGGAAAATAAAACAATTCAGAGGGACCATGTGTGCTTAGGAGTGTCTTCATGTGGGCTTTCTCCAAGTTTAACCACCAAGGACTCTGAGAGCTGGCAGGTCTGAGTAACCCTGGTGACTGTTCTTTTCACCTTATCAAAACCTGAGCTAAAAACGCATCAGCTGATGATGACAGCAGAGGGTGGCAGGGCTGAGGACCCCAAATTTATTTCCCAGGCTGGTGGAGTGAATAAATGCGGTTCCAAAACTAAACGAGGGAGGTCAGAGACTCTGTCCAACCTTACCTGATGGCTTCTGGCCAAAGCAAGGAGTGTCATGTAAAGTGTTGGGTGATGACAGTGCAAAGAGGGACTTGAGGAGGAGAGAGGAGAAGCAGCACCCCTCGATAAAGGTGGGGGAGAGAAGATATGGGGAGAGCCCTGAATTCCTCACCAAAGGCCAATCTCAGAGGGGAGAAGAGGGGTTACAATCTACGCTTTGGCCAAGGGCGGGAGTGGAGGAGAAGGGGGAGGGGACGATGGCTTGGAAGGGGGCATCATTTAAGACTTAAAGAAAGAAACCAGGGGTGCAGGCAAAGCACCCCGAACACCCAGCAGTAGTCCCACAGGCTGCGACCTGAAACCTTCACATCTCATCTACTCAAGCTGGAGGGCTGTTGCAGGGAGGGATGGAGGCAGGGGAAGGGGAGAGAAGGTAGAGACCCCAGGCCATGTAATCAGCAGCAAGGTGATTGTGTGCTGTGTCTTTTCACAGTCGAGTTAGATGTGCCCCACCAGTGATGATGGGAACCAATTTAAATATACTTTCTTGATCCCAGAAGTTCAACTACGTGGACAGTGGTTACA